AGGGTTTAGGGTTCAGGGTAGTTTAGGGTTTAGGGTTTAGGGTTCAGGGTAGTTTAGGGTTTAGGGTTCAGGGTAGTTTAGGGTTTAGGGTTCAGGGTAGTTTAGGGTTTAGGGTTTAGGGCCCGGCAAGGGCATTGTAGGGTTTAGGGACAAAGCCCTAGACAAAAACGAGCCTTCAACTTTGCCCGGAAAAAAACCGAACCTTTAAGTCTAAACCTCAAAAGCCCGAATGCCGCCGCAAACACACCCTGCTGCAGTCCACTGTACCTCGGGAGCTTCCGACGTCTTCTTCTTGGCTTTGGCCTCCTTGCCCTTGGCAGAGGGAATTTCCCGCAGAACGGGGGTTATTACAGGATTCTACCTGGCTTTGAGTAGAACCCTCAGAGTTTCAAAGGTAGAAAGAGCCAATGATATAGAATCCTATGCAGAAGCCAGGCTCTGAAGGATAAGAACCCCTGAAAGAACCCTACACCCTAAACCCTAAACCCTCATCCTAAACCCTAAACCCTCATCCTAAACCCTAAACCCTGAACCCTCATCCTAAACCCTAAACCCTGAACCCTCATCCTAAACCCTAAACCCTGAACCCTCATCCTAAACCCTAAATCCCTGATTCTCCAAACCCTTTGGGGGGTCCAAGATGTTCGAGCTCCTAAACCCTAAACCCTAAACCCCTAATTCTCCAAACCCCTCTGGGCGTCCAAGATGTTCCCTAAACCCTAAACCCTAAACCCCTAATTCTCCAAACCCCTCTGGGCGTCCAAGATGTCCCCTAAACCCTAAACCCTAAACCCCTAATTCTCCAAAACTGTCTGGGCGTCCAAGATGTCCCCTAAACCCTAAACCCTAAAACTGCATACCCGGCCTTCGACTCGGAGGCGACATCGGTCTTCTTGGCCTCCTGGCATACCCTATAGACCCCCAGGTAGCTACTATATAGGGTAGGGTTTAGGGTTTAGGGTTTAGGGTTTAGGGTTTAGGGTTTAGGGTTTAGGGTTTAATATATAGGGTACTAGAGCCCCTAGGGCCCTATATAGCAGGTACCTGGGGGGTTAGGGATACACTCATTTTTTGGCAGGGAGAATTACAGCGCAAAGGGCGTTGTATTCCAAGGACTGCGGCTGTAGCTGCGCTCCGCACGCTATCTCACAACATCTCCCAAGCCACAGAAAACATCTGCCTACCCTGCTGAGGGTGTTGGGATCCTGCAAAGCTCAACGGCAATTGAGGCCGAGACGGGAATAGTCTTATGAACGAGATTCCTCACTGACTAAGGCACCTTTAACGGAACAAGCTTGAACCAGAAACCGTTCTGATCCTAAGCCCTAAACCCTACACCCTCGACCCAACAAGTAAAACAAAAGTAACAACTACCGGCCCGACGCCGGATATCATTGCGCCTTAGGGGCCGCGGCCCCGCAAACTCCGCATTCCTCCTAGTACAAGCCGATAGCGGGTCCTCATCACCCAAAGGGTCCTAAGTACCTATATAGTAGAATGTAGGGTTTCTATAATAGGAACTACCCTTAGAAAGCATCCCCCATAACAGGACCTAGGACCCTTTGGGTCCAAAGGGCCGGTTCAAGTTCAAGGGCTGAGGTGGCCCCTTATGGGGGTTTCCGAAAATAAGGGGAACCTTATTTTGGGGCCCTTACAATGAGGATCCATTTTTTGGGGTACTACATTAAGGTCCCCTATTTTCGGAAATCCCCTTATCAACTAGCACATTTGGAAGGACCCTAGGCTGTAGAAGCGACACGCGACCTTCATCGCCAAACCCTCCCCCTGAAACGAATTTATTTTTTGGGGAGTTGTGAGGTTTAGAGTTTAGGGAATTATGACCCCACAACTCCAAACCTTCCACCCTCAATCCCACAGTATACCGTAACTGCAACCTTTCAATCTCATACTGTACGCCCAGCAACAACCCTCGACTCGACCCTAAACACCAAAGCCTCAAGAAAGAACTGTATCGCCTGTAGACACCCTTTAAAAAGCCGTACAGGGGAACCCGCCCTTTCCTAAAACCCAAAACCTACACCCTAACCTCTAACCCAAACCCTGGACCTAGGCCCCCTAAACCACCCCTAACCCTAAACCCTAAACCATCCCCCTTGAACGCACGCCTCCTTGGAAGCATCCTCGTCCGGGGCCTTCGCTTTCCAAGGGTTTAGGGTTAAGGGTTTAGGGCTTAGGGTTTAGGGATATTCGAGCACCAAGCCGAGTAATGTAGGGGCCTTAATAATTAGAATAGGGTTTTGGGGCCCGTTATACGATAATCATAGTAAAGAACCCCCCCATAATAGTATAGGCTTCGGGTTTAAGGTGCTGAGGGTTCAGGATTTCGGGTTTGAGGTCTTGGGGCAGGATGCAGGGTTTTAGCTGGTAGTTACTGCTCCAATGACGCCATAAGATTTGAGCATTCTAACAAGCACAAACCTGATTCCTAGGCAACACCCAGCTTAAGCCAAGAGTCCCTAGAGGTTGACTCCAAGACCCAGAGCAGCCCTCACACGGAAACTACGTAAACTATTCTTGAAGGGGAAATCTAGCAGGGGGAGTAGGGTTAGGGTTTCGAGTTTAGGGTTTTGGGTTTTTCAGTACACACACAGGAGTTATGACTACTTGTCATTGTAAACACAATAATGGTAACCAGAAACGAAGAGATCGAATGACCAAGCAGAAGAATAACAGTCACCATCCCAGTGATAATGAATCTAACCGGAGAGATCGCAACCAGCAGAATCTTTAGACTCAGGCCTGAAAATCAGATTGAGTTAAAACAGATGTTCTAACACCCTAAACCCTGAAAGATAAACCCTCAACCCAAAACCCTGAACCCTAAACCCTGAACCATGCACCCTAAATCCCGAACCCTGAACCCCTAAACCCTGAACCAGACGCCCTAAATCCCGAACCCTGAACCCCTAAACCCTGAACCATACGCCCTAAAATCCTGAACTCTGAACCCTAACCTAACCTAACTATTCTGAAGTCTAAACCCTAAACCCTAAACCCTAAACCCTAAACCTTAACCGTGGGGCCCCGGCTGCAGCTCCGGGGGAGTCTGCCGCCTGCTCGCCTCGACCAAGAGCCGCCAACTCGGCGACTTCCTGTCAGGGCCGGGGGCTGTCAGTAACGTTTAGGGTTTAGGGTTTAGGGTTTAGGGTCTAGGGTCTAGGGTTTAGGGTTTAGGGTTTAGGGTTTAGGGTTTAGGGCTCAGTAATTGTAGTCTTACTGCTACTGCTACTGCTGCTGTTGCTACGGTTACTGTTGCCTGCTACCCCTCCTACTGCCATTGCTGGTACGACTGCTTTCTAGTGCCACCACTGGTACCACAGCTACGACTGCTCCTGCTGCGGTTGCTGTTGCTGCGACTACTTCTACTGATTCTACTGGTGCCACTACAGCTACCACGGCAACTCCGACGACGAGGGCGACGACAACGACCACACACCACTACGGCCTACGACTGCTACGGATACAATGGCGACCACCACCATGCTATGACGAAGGGTGTGACGACGACTGTGACTGTTCCAACCACTGCGGTTTACTTTGTGCCACTACAGTGGGCGATGCAGTTGAGGCAACGTGGATATGGAGAGTCTGCCCGTACAGATCTGAGGCTGCCGAGTTCAAGACACGGAATTCAGAACCAAGTTGAGTACAGACATACAGACAAACACACGAACAGACATGCACATCGACACATATGTAGACATGTTTGCCAACTATGTACATGCAGGCGAGTGTGCTGTGTCTGCGAGTCGTAGTCCTGTTTGACCACGTGCGTGGACATGCAACACAAAAACATGAAACGACCCTAAACGGTGGTGCCCATAGGCCCCATAGTAGTTCCTTTCTGGGATTCCCTAATAGGATCCAAAATATAAGCCACAAAAAGGAACTACTATGGGGCCTATGGGTAGAGTTGTCCGGGACAAAGTCCAGGATTTCGTATCGCCGAACCAATGTCCCCGACCTGCACCCTGAAACCTGAATATTGGAATCGTACGGTCTAGGATTTAGGATTTAGGGTTTAGGGCCCCAGGGGTGCAGGGTTCAGGGGTTTAGCGGTTTAGGGGTTTAGGGGTTTAGGGTTTTCGGACACGCAAACCTCTGAAGCAAAATCCGACACCTGAATGCCTGCACTTCTAGTTCAGGATGCTGCGGATTCTCGTCTATGCTGCTCAAACCCCAAACTTTAAACCCTAAACCCTAAACCATACTAGAGGCCCTAAACCCTAAACCCTAAACCCTGAACCGTTCGGACAGCGAAGAAAGGGCTCCTCATCGGAAAGGATAGGAGTCGGCCAGCCACCTCTCACACAGCCCCGTTTAGGGGTTTAGGGTTTAGGGTTCAGCCCCGGTATGGCCTAATGGTCTAGCATAGGGCTCAGAGTTACAAAAACGCTACTACAAGTTTACAACAGCCTTACGAGGGTTTAGGGTTTACAGGTTTACGGGTTCGGGGAGAGGTCTGTTACGAAATCGTACCATGACATATGCCGTTTCTTTGGTCTTATCGGCATCTTAATGCCTTCCCCGCTCTTGAACACTGTTCCGATGGCGTGTAAACTCCGACTATTCTGAAACTGCAACTGAACCTACGCATGCAACTATCCATGTGCCTCCAAGTACCCTCAAACGGTTTCGGATCTTCTACCTGTCGACCTGACCGTTGACTGATAGCGTCGGCATCAATCCCGCAACCGAAGCCAACCAAACCACATTAAATCCTAAACCCTAAACCCTAAACCCTAAAGGTTTAGGGTTTAGGGTTTAGGGTCACATCCCTGCCTTGAGTCCTACACCCAAACAAAACATCCCTCGAGGTCTGAACGGTTGTAAAACACTCAGAGTGTCCTGAAGTCTGGAGCCCTAAACCTACACCCCTCCTGCAGACCCCAAATAATCCCTAAACCCTAAACCCTAAACTCAAAACCCAAAACCCTAATCCTTCAAGAAGCTCTAAAAGCCGAAAACCCAACACCCTACAACCCCAAATTCTCTGACTCCCCTCAGCTCTTCCCCGGCCTGTCGGAGCGTCCTCCAGGAAATAGAGTGCGAAGCAAGAGTGGAGAGACTGTTGCTTCTCTCCCGCCTTCCGAATTGGAAAGGTTCAGGATTTAGGGCTTCAAGGAAAGAGGCTATTTATTTAGAAGCCTGTTTTGGGGTTCAGGGTTGGGGGTTTTAGGGGCTCAAGAAGGTCCTTATATATATATATATATACACTACCGTTAAGGAACTATAGGCCCCAAAAGACCATTCCTATTATGGCTTTGGGGACTTTTGGCTTCTTTGGAGTGTAAAAAAAACTTTTCGTCTTCCAAGGGCTCGAGGCTGTGGGTTTCCCATGGTTTGGGAAGAACTTCAGCACCAGGCTGTCTTCAGTTAAAGGAAACTACAGGTGGGGTTTAGGGCTTGGGGTTTAGGGTTTAGGGTATATAGGGTTTAGGGTTTAGGGTTCAGGGTTTAGGGTTTTTTTAGGGCTTCTATAAGGCTTCCATAAGGTATATAGACCTTCTATAAGGCTCCTATAAAGGGTAGCTACCCACTTGAAAATGTCCTAGATTCAGGCTTATGACCGGGCTTATGAAACCCTAGGCCGGTACACCGAAGGCTTTCGGGGACATAGGGGAGCCTGTTTAGGGTTTAGGGTTTAGGGGAGCTGCTGCCAGTGTTCATTGGATTTGCGCTCCCTCTGGGGCTTAGGGTTTAGGGTTCCGATCAGCCTGAAACCGAAAAACCCTAAGAGCCCTAAAACGATCACCTAACCACAGGCCTCAAAACCTAAACCCTAAGAGCCCTAAAACGATCACCTAACCAGGGGCCTTGGCAGGTTTGGCCTTCTGGGTCACCTTGCAGGGTAAGGCGAAGCGAGTGCCGCTCTTCACCTCTGTCTCTGTATCCTCCCGCGAGGAAGGAAGAGCTGGAGGTCTCCAAAACTTAGGGGCTGAGTACGGATTTAGGACCCTAAACCCTAAACCCTAAACCCAAAAAAGTTAAGGGTTGCCTACTCAGCCCCTAAGAAGAGCGGTTTAGGGTTTAGGGTTTAGGGGAAACAACCTGCGCCCGATACTTGAACAGGAGCTTCTTGAAGTAATGTTCCCATCATATCGCAAAAAGAAGTTCAGGTCGTCTCTGGGGGTATTGCGAACAAGAAAAGACTGCTGAATTCAAAAGCACGGAAACTGGAGTACTTACCACACTCGCCTCTGAACTTTGGTCATCATGGCTCCTCTCTTTGCTGCTGTTCTAGACCCTTTATCATGAACCCGAAACCCTGTTGTTGTGAAGTGAGGCTTGTGCCGGTTATCGCTGTGAACTACTAGACAATTTCACCCGTCTGGGGATCCTCAGAAGCCCCTTGAGTAGCTATACGAGTCAGTTTAGGGCTCAGGGTTTAGGGAGCCGAAGTCCTTGTCCAACCGTGCCCATCGCTTCTTCCCAGCCTTGCGATGGACATGCCAGCAGCAATTGACCAACGGGGCAGAGCAAGCTATTCAAACTCTGAGGACAAGGGTTCCGTGTTCTGGGCCTCAATTTAGGGTCTGAGGTTTAGCGATTAGGGTTTCTGTGTAATTCATATTCTGTCTCGGTTTTGACAGACAGTTCCTGGGCCTTGCGTTCGTCAAACCCTGAAACCCCAATGTAATTCAGACAAGAAACCCTAAACCCTGAACAGCAAGAAAAGTTACAAACGTAGTTGAGCTCTTCACGGACAGCATCATCGTCGTCACCGCCACCATCCTCCTTTAGCAACTATCACCTTACCACCAACACCGCTCTCGTCCTGATCTTTAGGGTTTAGGGTTTAGGGTTTAGGGGCAGAATCGTCGCATTCACAGCAGCATGATGCAACTGACTTTGCGCACCTACAGGTTGAATGTGGAAAGGTCTTGCGTGGAGTTTGGGTGCAAAGCTTGACAACATGAGTGTTTAAAGCCTTGGCGGAGTATTAGATACGAACATACTATGCGAGCAACGATTCCCCAGCAGTGATAGAGCATTCAGTCGAGCATGACGACCCCCAAACCCTAAACCCTAAACCCGACACCCACGACGATCCGCGCCCACCAGGAAAACCAGGACGACCGCCCAGAGCAGGAGACCCCAGGCAGCCCAAAGACCATCGGCTCCAGGAGAGAGCCATATATATATATATATATATATATTTATCAGATGAAGTACAAATCTATATATGTGTATATGCATATATACATCTATAACTGTGCATATATATATATATATAACACACGCATTTTTGATGAGGACCAGGAAACCACGACCAGCAGGATGCCTTTCCCCAAAAGGTGGCCACTATCTTCGAGTTTGGGGTTTGGGGCTTACTATCTCACTATCTTCGAGTTTGGGGTTTAGGGTTTGCGTCTTGGAGTTTTGGGGTTTAGGGTTTCTTATCTTGGAGTTTAGCACTTGGGTTTTAGGGTTCAAGGGACAGTGACCGACGCATCCTGCGTAAGTAATGGAACATGAGCACAAAGCCCCGTCCCCTTCGCGCGGAGACTAACCATTTCTCTTCACACCCGATTTCAATGCAAGCTTCCCCATACAGTGTGTGTGTGTATATATATATATATATGTACCACACCCATGTTGGGAAAACGTGCTTAAAACCACAACTACTAGGAGCCTTGAACGACCAGTAACAACCCTTAGAAACCCTGCCATAAACTTTGCAGCAGTGACTCAGTCAGTAGCCTTTCAAGCCCACATAGGACAATACAAGCAAGCCTTGAACCTTCAAGTAAAACCCCATAGAGACGTGTAATAGAAGCGTTCTACAACAGCCTCGTACTTAATGTTCTAAACTAGCCATGAAACCTTCAAGCAAACCACGCAAGAAGCTTCAAACAAACCTGCTCCAACCGACTCCAACACATGGTTTCTGCTACACCGTAAACCCTAAACACCCTCCAACCTATGGTGTAACCCTGAGCCCTAAAACCCCTAAACCCTAAACCCTGAACTCTAAACTTTAACCCCTAAACCCTGAAACCTAAACCCCCAAGCCCTAACCCCTAACCCCTAACCCCTAAACCCGAACCCCTCAACCCTAAGCCGTAAACCCCCTAAACCCTAAATCCTAAACCCGCAAGAACAGGGCAGGTGGCCGCTTTAAAGGCCGAGCCCAGCGTGCTGAGGTCTTTCACCGTCACCTTCGGCTTATGGCCTGGCGGAAGGAAGCCCGAATGAGGCTTAGGGTTCTTAGGGGTGTTACGGGTTTGGTTGGGGTTTAGTTCGGGTTTAGGGGTTTAGGGTTTTAGTCTTAAGGGTTTAATTAGAGTTTAAGGGTTTAAGGGCTTTGGGGTTTAGTTAGAGTTTAGGGTTTAGGGGTTTTGGGTTTGGGGGTTTAGTTAGGATTTAGGGTTTCGTTAGGGTTTAGGGGCTTAAGGGTGTAGGGGTTTAGGGTTTAGGGGGTTTATGGGTTTAGGGTTTAGGTGCTGTTTGTTTGACGGGTGAAGTCGCTGTGGCGTCAGAGCTTGGAGCTGGGCCCTTTGGCGTCAGCTGGTCTTTTTTGATTGGATACATCAACAATCGAAACACATCAACACAGAAAGCACGAGAAAGACAGGTCACCGCGGCATCCCTTTCTGTTCTAGTAACATTGTAGAGATGAAACACGGCTTGGGGCTTATCATAAGAATTAACATGTTCAGCTCAGCGGCAATGTTTTAACCACGGCGGGTTTGCAAGTTGTGTAAACTCCCAACTGAAAGGATCTACGGTGCTCTGTAGACTTAGTGGCTCTGCGCAGCTGTTACGAGCTGGAATGATAGTATAGCCCTAAACCCCCAAGTACCTACTATAGGGTACTAGAGCCCTTAGGGCCCTGTATAGTAGGCACCTGGGGGGTTAGGATGGTATGGAAAGGACCCTCCAATTGGAACCAAATCTTGCAGCCACCACCAGTTGGCGCTTGTATCTGCACCGGAGTCTGGAGTGAAGTGGCTTCATTGGGTTTAGGGTTTAGGGTTTAGGGTTTAGGGTAGTTGGGATTTCCAGCATATTAGTTACACCAGGGCTACAGTAAGGAACCTCGGGGAATCCAAAATTACTGGTCACTCTACAGGGCTCTACAGCTATTGTCCGCGTCGTTCTGGTGTCTGAGAATGACGTCGCAAAGCATGCCTACTTGAGAAGGCAGAAACTACAGTAATAAGTAGTAAGTAGTAATGAAGTGGCCGAAAAAAACCATTCTTAGCCCTAAGCCCGAAATCCCAACCCCTAAACCCTAAACCCCAACCCCCAAACCCCTAAACATGGGAAAGGCAGCTGCACAAGACCTGCCTTTGCTGACGCTGCCTCTGTGCAAAGTGACGGTCATGTGTTGCCACGAGACCGCCATGTTCCTCAGAGGGTTCCTTTAAAGGGCTCCTTAAAAGGTTCTGCTACTGTAAGGGTTTGGGTTTTGGCGGTTCCTTATTGCAGTTATAGTTTAATATGCCCCCAAACCCTGTTCTAGTTATTAAAGGCCCCGATATTAGACTTTAGGGATGCACTCATCAGAGGGGGCCTTTATGATCAGAAAAAATGTTCTTGGCAGGGGAAATCATAGAGTACAATCATATAGGGATGATAAGAGAATGTCATTAGCCAGTACTAATCCCAAAGACCCAAGATACCCTAAACCCTGAACCCTAAAGCCTACACCCTAAACCCTAAACCCTTAGCCCTACACCCTAAACCCTAAGTTTGGGTTCTCTTCTGGGGGGCTCGAGCTTTCAAGGTTCAGGGCTGCAGAAGTTCCGAGCCACTCCAGAAGAACACGAGGGCTCCTTCTAGGGGTCGAAAAGAGACGACGGTAATGTAGGAGCCGTAATAATTAGAATAGGGGGGTTTTGGGGCCCATTATACTATACAAAAATAAGGACCCCCGTCCCCCCCCCAAGATAGTATAGGTAATATATTGGGAACCCTAATATGATTTAAGGTACGTATATTCCTTATTTAAGGGGTTTGGGAGTCTCTAGGAACTTCTTGCGGAGCTAAGGGTCCGGGGTCTAGGGTGTAGGGCTATGGATTTAGGGGTTAGGGTTAAAGGTTTCGGGTTTAGGGTTTAAATGTTTAGGGTTGAGGGTTGAGGGTTTAAAGGTCTAGGGTTTAGGGTTTAAATGTTTAGGGTTTAGGGTTTAGGGCTTCAGGGTAGCCCTAAACCCTAAACCCTAAACCCTAAAACGGATCGGCTTCCAGTTTTGGGGTTTACTGCGCCTCAGTATGCCAACTCACGCCTGCAGAACCCCTACAACTGAATCGACGGACATCTTCCAATATAGGGTTTAGGGTTTAGGGTTTAGGGTTTAGGGTTTAGGGTATCCCACATTGAAGGAAGAGACCGCACATCATATCATGAAGATTTGGGTACTTATAGAAGCTTTCAAAACCATCTAACCACATTGATTCTTTATAGCGCATTTATACTTAAAGAACCTTGATGCTTATGAAAGCTCTATACTTAGACAGTAGAAGCCCAAAAGTTGGAAACCCAATAGCCTCAGTCCTTAAGACAACTAGATAGGGAATCCCAGCACTATTTGGCCTTAATCAGGTTTCCAACTTTAGCCCTAAACCCTAAACCCTAAACCGTAGAACCTCTACACTTGTAGACCTTTAGAACCCCCGCACCTGTCCAACTGCTTCCCGCGCACGCGCAGGCTCACGAAGCAGCTTATCAGGGACCTGCCAAGCAGGGGAGAGGCTCCTGGCTTCATTGCTTTTGGAAAGTAGGAGCCCTACAAGATTGAATGATTTTTGATGGGGGGATAGAATAATCTGTGTATACATATATATATATATATATGTATATAAATATAAAGAATATTGGTAACAATAACAATAACCATAATGGGCTTCCTTGCTTTGAATAATAGGAAGCTTGCTACTTCCCTGTTTTGTTTTGGGGAGTACGTATACTCATACGTATTCCAGTGCTGCCGGAACAAGTTTGAATTACTTTTTGTGGGGGGAGAGGGGGAAATAAGAAGAGTAGAGTGCTGGCTGAGCCGGAAAGCCGGTTAACCAACAGGGATCCTGGTGTAGTGAGGGCAAAGGGTTAAGTTTAGGGTTTGTAGAAGTTTAGGGTTTAGGGCTTATATAAGGGATGTAGGGTTTAGGGTTGCCTCATTCTGGCCTATGTCTGTATTTCCAACATGACAGCAAAGCATCTTAGTTGGCTTAATACCCCAAACCCTAAACCCTAAACCCAAGTTAAGCTGCCTCATCGCCCTTAGACCTGACACCATGGAAGCACGTAAACGCCTGAACTGATAGCTATTGCGAATTATACGGTTGATGATATAAATCCTGCATTACTCAAAATAACAAATATACCTTAATTCTCATAGTTTAGGGTCCGTAGGGTAAGGCAGGATTTTTATCATCAGCAGTAGTTAACCGTTTATGGTCAAACTATACTATGAAGGCCGGTGAATTATATGCTGCTATTAACCCCTTTAAACCCCAGCAGAAGCTCTAAATCCCCTTAATTTTGACCCTCAAGGGTCCACGTACCCAAACAGTACATACTATGGCCTCTTAAGTAGTCCCTATTTAAGTACTTCGGAGCCAAAGTATGAACCACTTAGATATTGGGTACATGGACCCTTATACCCTAAATATCCCCAAACCTTTATGGCACCCCAAAAACCCTAAACCCTAAATACCCTAAACCCTAAATACCCTAAATACCTTAAATACCCTAAACCCTAAACCCCAAAACCCTAAATCCTAAACCCATAAAGGAGCCCATTAGGGTTTCAAGCCCTCGGCAGTCTCAACCCGGCCTGGCCAGTCGAAAGACGGCAAGCTTCCTGGCCGTTCCCCCACACTGCTAGGGACGCTCAATTGGGGTTGAGAGTTTAACTGCCACTACACCCCGCATGCTGCTTTCAGAAATGCAGCCCCGCTAAACACAACACGATAACCCGCAGACCGGAGAAGGGCGATCTCGAGGGCCTAGATCATTTCGTCCCCAAGGTAGAGAGGACCTGCGTCACCCAGAGAGCGGGCTTCGTGCGCGCCGCGAAGGCGCGTGGCACTCCAGCCGTCTGGGCCATCTCGTCCGTTGGCACCCAGAAGGCTTCAGGGTTCTAGTGCTTGCTTTGGTTTGGGTGACTTGGGACGAAGTCCGATGATGATGATGATGATGGTGCTAGGCACCGTGTTAGAAGCTTGCCTGCACATGTACGTCTTGAATTACATAGTGCGCATGTCACGATCAATCAACTGCTAGTAAGCATTTGTTGGTGGTGGTGGGCAGCGACAGCGACATTGACGACAGCGATGACGAAGAAGACGAGCAGGAGAACAGAACCGGAACAACGACAAGCGGAATGTCAGCAACACCAATCACAATAACAGTCAGCAGCATCTCCGCATCAGAGAAGCTGCGTTTTCCCAAAAAACATCCCAACGTTCTAGACGCTGAACCCATGAGCCTGAATCCTTAATAGCATCTCAAACCCATCATTACCGCCACCAGCTAAACCCAAAACCCAAAGCCCTCAACCCTAAACCCAAAGCCCTAGACGTTCAAACTCGTTTCTTTGAGTAAGCAACCTTCCTTGCTGCACCCCTCGATGAGCTACAGCCCGATATCCACAAACTGCCCCTATCTTAAGGTTTAGGGTTTAGGAGTTTAGGGGTTTAGCGGTTTTAGGGGTTTAGGGGTTAAGGGGCTTTAGGGGTTTAGGGGGTTTAGGGGTTTGGGGTTCAGGGTTTAGGGTCAAAGCCAAGCTAGCTCTATGCAGCTGCTTCGAAAACGGCCCCTAACCCAAGCATCCGACCTTCTACACCCTAAAACAACGCCTGCTTCCAAGTTCAAGGGACGCGGAGAGGTGGGGTATCATTCGGGTGATGAGTGTACCTATAATCGGCGTTTCATACTAACTACTACCCTGTTTAGTAGACTGTACCGACTAAGTCACTTCAGGCCCCCTGAAGCATTAGAGAGGTGGGAATCGAACAGACCTCAAAACTCCACACCCAGGACCAGAGGAACCTTACAGCGGCTTCCTGCCATCATCAACGACACGTCAGTGGCCCGGCGATACGCAAGTTGGGGTTGGGGTCTAGGGTTTAGAGCTCAGGGTTTATGGGCTTAGGGTTTTAGGACCTAGTTTAGGGCTGTATCCCAACACTGCCACGGCAGCTGCGAGTAGCAAGCCTAGGCCCTAGACCCTAGACCCTAGACCCTAGACCCTAGACCCTAGACCCTAGACCCTAGACCCTACACTCTAGACCCTACACCCTAAACCCTGCAAATGCCAAGATCTCATCTGCCCCGGCTGCTCAAGTCCAAGCTGAATCCACAAGCTGAAAACCCAGAGGGTCCGAAGTACGTGTACGGGGGATAGGGTTTAGGGGTTTAGGGTTTAGGGTTTAGGGTTTAGGGTTTAGGGGTTTAGGGTTTAGGGTTTAGGGGTTTAGGGTTTAGGGCTAAAGGAAACTACAGATGGGGAGTTTGGGGTATATGGGGCTTCTATAAGGCTTCCATAGGTCTATAGACCTTCCATAAGGCTCCTATAACGGTAACTACCCACTTGAAAATGTCCTAGATATGGGGGATACTCGACCATACCATGATGGTAACTCCTGTTATAGAAACTCTGCATTCGATCACGTAGGTACCTCTTGGAGCCTTTGGGACATCCGAAACCCAAACGTAAACCCTACAAAAACCTAATAGGGTTTAGGGTTTAGGGTTTATAGGGGTTAGGGTTTGGGGTTTAGGGTTTATAGGGGTTAGGGTTTAGGGTTTATAGGGGTTTGGGTTTAGGGTTTAGGGTTTAGGGTTTAACTTTTTGGAGAGTCCTCATTTCTGCCTAAAGGATCGTGGACCCGGCAGGTTCTGGCCGGCCAAGGCAGGGCATGGCCTTAATAGGTAGAACATGAAGGGTTGTTTTTTTAAAGACTTTGTAACAATAGTATAGGATTGTGGTATCAACATCCTATAACTACAAACATATAGGGAGAATACGGGTAGTTTGTCAAGATTTTGATAGGTTTAACCCTATTATCGTTGGACTTAGAGAACGGTCGTTCTCATCCCACACATGTTCGAGTCTCCTTACCAAGACTTGTAAGTCCTAAACCCTCACTCCCAACATCCCAAACTCCAAAGCTTAAGGCTTAGGCTTGATCCCTATATCTCAAACCCTAAATCCCAAACCCTCGAACCCGAAAAACCTAAACACTGAACTCTGAACCCCGACATGGAACGGGTACGTGGAGCCTTCGGGCTATAAGCCCTAAAACCTAAAACCCCTATGGTACCCTTACAAGAGACCCTCTTAATGAATCCTATAGTACCCTTAAAACACCCCTTTA